CACACACACACACACACACACACACACACACTGGAAAAAGCATACATTTGTTTATAAGATCTCCTTGAAGAATTGTTGGTGACAAAGAGTTATTTTCCAGCCTCAGTGAAGCAACACTTTCCTCAAAGTCTATCTGCCTATTAAATATAAGGAAGGGGCTATCATTAACTATAATGGGCGTGGTGGCTCATGCCTGCCATCTCAAGACGTGGGAGGTAGACACAGGAAGACTACAAGTTTGAAGCCAGCCTAGTTAACATGTGAGGTCTTATCTTTAAAAACAAAAAAAAAGGTAAGTCCCTAAGTCATGCTCCTACACTTGCAGAATGACCCACAGGGTTCATTTACAGCTGAATTCTTAGATGTCTATAAGGGACAAGACTGTAAATAGGTTCATATATACTAGAACATCCCAGAAACTAGCAGCACTGGTTGGTCCTGAAGGGAAGACTGAACCAGGGCTTTTAGGTTGGAGTGCTCTTCCTTAGACTAGCTGTGTTGATTTTTTTATGCACAAAGCATCTGCAACCATTTCTCAATAAAAACAGAAAACCAAAAGTGTCAGTGTTTTAAACAAGGGGACAAGTCTTCATATTGACCTGGAACTAGAGGGTCTTCATCAGTCACGCCTCTTTCCATGACATCTTTAACCTTACATTGACCACAAAGTTAGTGTCTCTTGCACAACATACAAGAACATGCAATCTGAACTCCTTTACTGCGTCTTAGACCTGTGAGAGTCTCCTTCTCAAGACTAAGGAGAGTTTAGGGTGGGGAGAAGGGTTAGGTCAGTAGGGCACAGGCAAAAAGTAGTTACAGGAGAGGAGTAGAGAGGTCAAACGGACACCGAGTGGTTGTCCAGAAAGATCTCCAGGGCAGCTCAGAGTGTGGAGGAGAATCTTGCCTTCTGGAGACTCATCTCAGAGGACTCCCCAGATGTTTGGATGCCTGTGACAGAAGAATATCAAAGAGTACAACCAGGGGCTGCCAAAAGAAGAGCCCTCTCTCCTTCCAGCTGATCCAAGATGAAATGATGCTCCTTACCGCCACCAAGGATGGCAGCGAGGGATGGGGAGGAATAGGCTCTGTTCAACAACTCACCCAAATCCCACCATCCCCATTTTATAAGGCCCCATTACCTTTGGTCGCCTGAGTTAGCAACCCACAGATAATGAAGGCCAGTGTTGGGAAAATCATGGCTTCAGAGAGAGAAAGATCGATCTACGTCCGGAGGAAGCCAGAATGCTTTATCTAGCAGGCGCTCTAGGTCTTCAGCTTTATCGGTATCACAAGTAATGAACCGAAGAAGTGAGCTTGCTATGCCATCTGGCCTGTCAGGCCAATCATTTGCATGACACAGTCATGCCCAGCACAAGAGATCATTAGAGGAAAACAAGATGCAATCCTGGATGGTTGATGGAACAAACTCCCAGGAGGAAGTTCCCTCAGACCTAGTGGGGTCAGTTTCTTCTCTGTCCATGTGCAACACCCTGTACACATCTAGCAATAGTAAAATGGTGTGTGAGGTTCCCTCTGTGGCAGACCAGTGGATCATAGTATGTAGCAAAGTGTTTGTTCTTTCTCTGGCTGTCAGCCCGGTGAAAGAAGGGAGATGCAAAAAAGAAAAAAAAAAACCCTCACAAACAGAAAAGCCTTTTATGCACCGACTCAATGGCTCATTAAATAGAAGGGATCAGGAATTGCAAGTCAAAATAGAAAGCAGGATTTAATATGGTTGTCTTTTCTCTGTTCTACATTCCATTAACCCCACTTGTCCAAAGAACTAAGAAACAGTATATTGGGAAAGGTGAAATATTTTTCATTATTTTATATTTTATTTTTGCTTTCTTGAGACAGGGTCTCTCTACATAGTCCTGGAACTTCTAGCTGTACTGGAAATCACTGGGTAGTCCAGGCTGGCCTTGAACTCACAGGGATCTGCCTGCCTCTGGAACAAAAGGCTTGTGCTACCATTTCTGGCTCTTTTTCCTTGTTTGTTTTGTTCATAACCCCAAATCCAAATTTTTACTTTAGAAAATTAAAAAAAAAAAGAAGAGAAAAGTATGGCTAAGATAAGTAGAAGAAACGAAATCCCAAGAGCTAAATATTACGACACTGACAATGGGAGACTCAGAGATGAGCTGACGGAAGCAAGTCCATGCCGTACTCAGACCTGCAGCTGTGCCCGTGGGGAAGGCGGTCTCAGGTGATCACAATATGGACTGGAAGGGAGGTTGTAACAGCCAGCCCCATTGGTAAGAGGGCAGTAACTGAATATAATAGTATAGCCACAATGTTTATTGATACATGAGATGAGCTAAGTCCTTGGAAGACATGCAAACAACCTGACAGGGAAAGGTTACCCAAACAATCCTGTACCTGACTCAAAAAACTCAGTTAGCAGTTTTCAATCTTCTCTTGAAGAAATAGTCAAGCCTAGATGGTTTCAGTTGAGCAGATAGGCCTCAGATCTGAATAAGCAGTTTTCCAAAGAAGTTATATGAATGTTTGATAAATATAAAGGGATGTCCAGCTCACTAACGTTGGACTGAATGTGAAGTAAAACTATAAGATGCACCCCCAGGAGAATGTAACTTACTGAGAAGTTCAACAGCTAAGAGCACTGGCCGCTCCTCTAGAGGACCCGGGTTCGATTCCCAGAGCCCACACAGTGGTTCAAAAGCATCTATGACTGCAGACTCAGAGATCTGATGCTCTCTTCTGGCCTCTGTGGGCACTGCATACATATGATATACAGACATACCTGAAAGCAAAACACTGTACCCATAAAAATAGATAAACTAAAAGAAAAGTACTGGAGAGAGCAAATCCATCAGATATGAAGATCTAAATGTAGGGGCAAAAAACATGGGAAAGGTAGCATGAAGCTTCTAGAATATTACGCTCCACAGCAGTTACCGAGGAAATAAAGGGTTCAAAGCTTACAGTGCAATTCACTCTACTTTAAAAGTTCCAAGTCAGCGGTTCTCAAGCCTCCTAATGCTGCAACTCTTTAATACAGTTCCTCATGGTGTGGTGACCCCCAGCCATAAGATTATTCTTGTTGCTACTTCATAACTGTAATTTTGCTACCGTTATAAATCATAATGTAAATACCCGTGTTTGCCAATGGTCTTAGGTGAGCCCTGTGAAAGGGTTGTTCAACTCAAAGAGGTTCTGACCCAAAGTTTGAGAACCACAGCTCTACATGATGACAGAAGGGTTCCAAGGGACTCAAGGGAAACCTATAAAGTTTAACCAAATGAAGAAGACACATGAACAAGGGATTCCACAGAGCACCGATGTCTGTAAAAGAGTCAAACAGGAGCCTTGGAAATGAAGGCTTGGTAAGGAGACCAGTGACCATGGTTGCAGGTATCTCTACCAGACCAGTTCAGACAGAAGAAAGACTATCCAAATTTGAGGATAGGTTAAAATCCCAGTCACACAAAAGAAAATATTAAAGATAAAAAAAAAAAGATGATTCACTACAGCTTGAATCTCCACAGTTCCAGTTCGGAATGCCTAGTCTCTAGCTGAAAGTCCTGAGCTGAAAGGTTGTGGAACCTTAGAAGGTTCCAGATGGCACAGCATGAGTAGAGGTAAGCTTGGCCTCTAGTTCCAGCTCCACACTCTGAGCTCCGCTTCCTCTCCTGTTACGGACTGACATGTTCTAGAACCCTGGATCAAAATAAGTCTTCCCTCCTTTAAGCTGTTTTTGTCAGGTATTTCAGTCACAATGACACAAAATTCATGGACATTCGAGATTCCCTAGACCTTTGGAAAACCGTCAAGTGGAAAAACACCAGCATTTTTGGACTTGAAGGCAAGAAGAAAAAGCTAAAGGCTTTTTTAAAAAGAACCTACTCAATGAAATGATGTCAGAAAAGATTCCCCAATCTTGGAGGACATGTGGACATCCATATGCAGAAGGCTTACAGAAACCTAGCAGACATGACTACAAAAGATCTTTGTCGCAGATTATTACAGTCAAAACTCCAAAGATGTAAGGCAGGCGCTAGACACAGTTTTGTTACTATTACAGAGGATCTGTGTTCAGTTGCTGGCACCCATATGGTGCTTCACAACTGCTATAACTCCAGTTCCAGGGGACGAGGATCCCTCTCCTGCCTCTGCTAGCACCAGGCTTGCACATTGTTCACATAGATACATGAAGGCAAAACACTAGTACACTTTATTTATTTATTTATTTATTGCCACAAGGTGTGTTTTATTTTCATCAATCATACAAATAATTTTCTATGATATCCCAGGGCAAACCAGTGAAATTTGGCAGTCCGATTAGTGGGGGTCCCCTTCAGAGACCCGCGGGCCGGTGGCATCGGCACGGAGTGCCCGGGTTCACAGTGCAGTTTGTGGCTCGCGTCAATCTTGCAGGTGGCTCTTCCTCCACATCACGAGGGAGTCTTGGAGATGACGGGGTGGGGTGGGATGGGAAAACCTTCCTAGGCTTTTAGGAGATTTCACTCCTCTTTTCCTGTTCAATTGTCTCTTTGGTCGGCAGGGTGTTCTTCTCCTGCGTCTCAGTTTTCTTCAGCTTGGCCTTATCGAAGCTGGCGATTTCCCCCATGTCCGGCTTGTCTGCCATTTTCTTACAACTCGTGGATTCTCGTTCCGAGCTCGCGCTCCAGGTGCTCCCGCTCGTGTTGCTGCAGCAAGAGACCACTAGTACCCTTTAAATATAAATAAATAAATAAATAAATAAATAAATAAATAAATAAATAAATAAATA